CCCCCCCAGTCAGTTTTTTACTTTTTATAGAAAATTGTCACTTTTTCCTTAGAAAAATAGGATACTTTACTCCTATACTTATGGATTTAAACACGTTTAAATTGATTTATGTATTCATTTTTTAATTACAAGGAAGGAGATGTAAGACATGTCATCTTCTGAACCTTATTTCTTTCTCCAAATATATCCTGGAAAATAAATCAATCTTATATGTTCCTTCTGCGCAAGCAAATTGTCCTTAAACACATTCTTAACCTTCTGTAATTCTTTCCACCGTTTGTGTATGAGTCCCAGTTTCAGTATCCTTAGAATTCTCAGAATGATTCACTTTCTGATGTGTATAACCCGTTTCGATTTCCGGTATTTTATTATATGCTGCCAACAATCAATATGAATCTCAGTTTCTATTTTTAATGTATATGTACTAATCCAATTTCATTTTTTACCTTCTCTAATATATTAAGCAATAAAGGCAAGAGGATTTCAGCACTTCTTTTCTGCCCCTCAAGTGGTACCAAAAACAATTTCTGTTATTTCCTCGTTCCACGCCTCCGAAAAGCCAAATTTCCGTATTTACCAATTCACGGCCTTTATTATATTTTCTTCTTTATTATATTTTCCCCGCTAAAGCAGTTCCAGTTAAATAACTTTTCTACAAACCATCGGTCAAAACCGTTGTCGGGGAAAAATATTTTTTGAGTTTTTCCATTATAAAATTTTTAAGGTCTTCCATCGAAGCTAAAAAACAACAAAAAAGCCTGTAAATAAATTATTGAATGAAAAAGGTGAAATCAGGTAAAAATATCATAATATTTTATTATATACATCTATACGGATTAAAGACTCGGGCATGCTCTTTATGATAAGTTAGGACTAAGCTGACTGCGTGAAGGATGCATAAGGGAAAATATATGTAATTCCTATTTTACTAATTTTCTAAAAAAAAGTTTGACCATTTTGTACAAAAAGTAAAAAACCGACTTGGGGGGGGGCGCATTAAGTACCGATGTAGGTAAAATTTAAAGCAGGGAATTACCACATATAAAAAATAAATAAATAAAATGTAAAATATAAAGAAAAAATTTAAGAAAACTTTTTTAAGAAAAACTTTTTTTTCAAATTTAAGAAAACTTTTATTTTTAGAAAAATATTAAATTAAAAAAATTTTTTTAACATCACCATAACAACAGAAAATTTTTTTCATTTTTTGTGTTTTTTCCGTTTATTTTCCTAAATATTTTATGTTTAAAATTGTCGTTGTGTTGCAGTGCTGTGTATTTCAATAATTTTAAAATTTTGTTTGTTTCTTTTTCCCAGTTTTTGTTTCTTCATTTTTTCCAGAATCCTCGTTTGAGTCTTCTACATTTCCATCCTTTCTATCATTTAATGAAAAAAGCTTTTCAAATTGATAACAGTTCTTCTGTTTTTTCACCCTTATCTGAGCCGTCTACTTCAAAACATTCTTCATCTTCATTTTAAATTTTCTCTCTTTTTCAATTTCTCTCTTCTTGATTTTAATTTTTTTGTTTTTGATTTGTTTGTTTTTCCTTTTATTGTTGTTGTTATTGTTGTTTTTGTCTTCCTCTTCTTCTTCCTTATTTGTTAATTATTTTATCATATTTTTTGATCCGAAAAAACATATGTGTGGGGGTGGGTGGGTTATAGTATATACGATTTCTACATTTTAACATTTCTCAAAATTATTTTCCTGTTATTCGTTAGAAATCATATATCTATCTAATCTAATTGGGGAGATGAAATTAATTTTTTACAATTACTCTTACTACGTAATTACACGGACCTCTGATTAGCTCGTTCATCTCCAACGAACTATAATTTTGTCTCGATTTCTATTGGGTGGTGTGTTTAGTATAAGCCGCAGCCTTTTATAGTCGAGAGTTAGTCGGTTGCCAGCTAGTCAATATTAGTCCGTATTTAAGCTAGTTTCCGCTCCCGCGCCTATTCCCGCTTATTCTATTGTGTTGTTCCCTTCGTGATAAACCTTGTTAATTAGTCCTTCTGTTAGTATCGAACACCCCACCGTCAGTACCAGAGCTGACCCCACATTTCGGTTTTCGCCGTTTTTTCTTTCGCTTTTTGAATTTTTTTTCTTCCTAGAATTTCGATTTCGATATCTTTGGATTTCTTTCGATTTCCGATTCGAAGAGTTTTTTGCTTCGATGCAGCTCTGCTCGGTACGCAACATTCTATTTCTTTTCCATTTTTTAAAATATTTATATCCCCCAAACTGAAATTAAATTTTGTCTCTGGTTGTTATAGTATCAGCGAATTTAATTTTTTCCTTTGTTAAAAACACGAGACAATCTTTAAAAATGCATTTTATTTATCAAATTAAATTTATTTTAATATTTTCATTTCTTTCCTTATTTTTATTATTTTTTTGTTGGGGAGTAAGGAAAGAATTTCTAAAAAAATTTTCGCCTGCGCCGCTTAATATGTTATAACCGCAATAATTCTGATATTAATTGTACCCAGGCTTATATTTTCTTTGTTTCTAATCCCGAATTGCTCAATAATTTGAAAATTAGTGATCCAGTTATTCGGAGATTTTAACTATTTTACATAATTTCGCCATTTTTCCGAATTTTGGGTATTTTTTAAACCTACCGCCTTTTTCCGAACTAACATTAACTTAACATACACAGCACTGCAACACAACGACTATTTTAATATACATTAATATACATACATATGTCTAAAAGCGACAATTAAAATATACATACAGGTACTTATTTCTTTTCCCTCCCCCAGTCAGTTTTTTCGAAAAGTATGTAAAAATGGTCAGTCAGAACAACAATTGTAGAACCCATCGAGCTGAGTCGAATGACACCAAAATCAACAAAATCCGACTTGATTTGACCGAAATACAGACCCCTAAACCACAGGGGCACAAAATCACAAAGACGAAAATCTATACAAATGATAGCTCATTCGAAAGAGCTCGTCGAGCTGAGTCGAATGAGACCAAAATCAACGAAATCCGACTTGATTTGACAAAGTTATGACATAAGTCGTTGACTCCTGTAAGTCTAAATAATGTCATAACTTTGTCAAATCAAGTCCGATTTCGTTGATTTTGGTCTCATTCGACTCAGCTCGACGAGCTCTTTCGAATGAGCTATCATTTGGGTAAACTTTTTTTGTTTCGAAAAATCACCCCCATGGTTGTTCAATTTTCAGGGGTCTGTATTTCGGTCAAATCAAGTCGGATTTTGTTGATTTTGGTGTCATTCGACTCAGCTCGATGGGTTCTACAATTGTTGTTCTGACTGACCATTTTTACATACTTTTCGAAAAAACTGACTGGGGGAGGGAAACTAAATAAGTACCATACATACATATGTCTAAATCTATTGCGGGAGGAAATGGTTAGGTAACAGAGCGTATAGTTTAAAGTCGACGGGTTTGTTTAACATCATTTATAATTTCATTAAGCTTATCTTTGACATTCAATAATCTATGGTATTATTTGCTGTGCTTGTATTGTAGTATCTATTATTATATCCCATTTAAAATTTTATTATTATTATTAAAACTAATTTAATAATAAATTATAAAAAATTAATATGCTAAAATATTTTTAGTAATAAAAAGCAAGCGAACTATATATTTAATTAAAATTAATAAAATCCAAATATTTATTTTAAAATATACATACATATGTCTAAATCTATTGCGATTTATAGATTTTTGCATATATTTTTCATTATACTAATCGATATGAACTAATTTAGCCACAGAATACAGCCACACAATTGTAGAGCAGCAAGTTTGCACATAGATAAAACACAAGCCAAAATATCGATCATTTCATTTAAAACGCTGAAAAAATAGAGAATTAGAGAAATAGAAGAAAATCTGTAATTTTGGGCGTGAAAGAAAAATAAATGATGTGTTGGTTAGAGTTAAAAGAAGATAGAAGGGGCGAGGCTTACCAAGTTGGTTAGGCGTTGGATGAGGAGCAAGAATGGAGGGCTGTAATAGTAATTTTGCTAACAAAGAAGCGACGCCTTCTTTATTTTGAAAAAAGGCTTTTATTCTAAAGGTAGTTTTCCTCTTCATTCATATTGATTTCCCCCTCTTGTGTTGTGCTAACCCACTGCCTTTTAGCAAAAATATATGTATATGAATAATATGTATGTAGTTCTCCGAGCTGGATGGTTGAAAAAATTTATGATTGAATATTTGTGAAATTTTGGCACATTGTTCATATCTCGCCCTCACCTATTTGAGTCTCAGATTAATTTTCCATTAATTTTCAATCCTTTTTTTCCTTGAGCATTACAAGTAAATAAGTTATTGAACAAAAATTTGGAAATGAAAAATAAACGGCAACGACAAAAAACTACATTTACATATAAGGAAGAAAATTTGATCATTCCGAGACAGAAAAGAATGAAAGGGAAATAATTTGAGACTCAAATAGGAGTGGGGGCGGAAAATGAACAAAGTACCGAAATTGGGGCGGGGGATCATTGTGTACCGGCCGTTTGTGTACCTGGCCATATTTTGGGCCATAACTTTTTTGATTCTTAACCAACTTAAATTATTATTATATCAATTGAAAGCCCTGGATATGAGGATTATTTTTGCCAGCAGGATTGATTTGATCAGATCATCATACAAAAAGTTACAGACAGATAAAGATCAAAATCACGATTGAGCGCATTTATCGAGATATAACTTTTTATAACATGATCTGATCAAATAATTCCTGTTGGCAAAAATAATCCTCACATCCAGGGCTTTCGATTGATATATAAATTATTTAAATCAATTAAGAATCAAAAAAGTTATGGCCCAAAATATGGCCAGGTACACAAACGGCCGGTACACAAGTGGGACGTTCCGCCGAAATTGTATTTATAACATTTTTATTGGTCGCATAAGCTTTGATTGAACTCATAAAATGACGCATAAACTAAGCTTATATTATTTTAAAGAATTTTTAGTATTTAAATGTATCAATACATACATAAATGGCTACATTTTTAAAGACTGAATACAGTAGAAAGAAAATGATTTTTGAGGTTTAAATTTTATTTTTTTATTTTCTAAAATAATATTTAGGGGTATGTTTATGTCCGTAATGCTTTTAGTCAAGATAAACAAACCAAATATTGGATATGTGAATTAAATGAACGAAGGGGAGAGCATTCATGTATGGGCAGAGCTGTAACTAGTATGAGACCTGGGTCTGAAGATTTTGAAGTAACAGTCACTCAAAGTCATAGCCATGCTCCTGGAATTGTTAGTAATTTATTTTCTATTTCTTTACTAGTGCTCATAAATTTCAATTTTGCTCGTACTTCGTACCACCCCTATTTTTGGCCTCGTACTTACTCGTACTTGAGAAAAAAGCAAATAGTCTAAAATTTTTATGATTTATTGAAGTTATTTTTAGGGCCATAATTTCTCCATGTAAAAAAAATTTTTTTAACAAAATTTAACTTATAAAATAAGTTATTTATGGAAAGAAAAATACGAAAATTCCTTGTTCTCTGACCATGAAGCGAACCCACCTCTAATAACGTCTTGGTTGAAGCCTAACACCCTTACCACTAGGCCACTCGCTCATATAAGGGCGATTGAAAGAAATTAAACATGTATTTCTTTTAAAAGGTACGCCAACGTTCACCAAGCACAGAAAGTATCAAAAGTGACAGAACTGAGCCTGGAAATGTCCCAGACACTTCTGCTTTTGCTGATGAAATGTCTGAAAATAAAGAACAACAAAACGATCAAGTGATTGATGAAATTATAGAGAAACTAAATAATGAGACAGATCAAACAATTATTATTGACGAAATTAAGGCGGTAAGTACTTACGATTTTCGGGTATACCGGGTTTTGGGTCAATCTTTTTATTATTTATTTTTTCCTCTGCAATTGTTGTTTTTGATAAGTAATGTTAATCAAAAAAGGATTAATTTCCTCCTTCACTTATCTCATCTATCAGGAAAGAGTAATTATGGGATAAAGAAAACTTGATTAATTCCAAAAATAATAATTTTCATTCACAGATCATTGAATCTTTTCGATCTACTTATAAATTTTAACCTATCCCCGGGTCAGCAATGATTGTAGCACACACTTTATCGAATTTCTCTGGCGCAAAAGCTTTTATGATATTTCAAATTTTTTTTTTCAATTTTTAGAGTCATTTTGATAAATTTTTTTTATTTTTTAGACCTTTTTAAATTTATTTTTTAGGAAAATATAACGATCGGCCCAACACCTGATCATACAATAAACACTAGTATTCAACAACCAAATAATTCACAACAACTTGATATACCTCCTTCACTTACAACCGAAGAACCTCCACCTATTTTAGAACCTGAAAATGATAATATTTCTGTGTCAGTTTCTGATACAAATGCTCAAGTTACCTCTAATAATATTTCAACAGAACCAACCAATTTTTCTCTCCAAAGTTTGAATAAAATAAAACCCTCAACACCTAATGGTAATGCTATCTATATTCTCTTAATCAATTAAACAATTTGCATTTTCACACGCAAATACATGTTGACTCATTTCTAATTATAAAGGTCTCCCGACTTTATCATCCAATTCCTTGGGTTTTGCAGACACTTATCATACAGTTTTTTGTTATTCACTTTCTGTTTATATTTAGACCCTTAAATTGGTATCACGACTTTTGCGCCGAGAACATTTGCGCCGCGACATTTGCGCCGCCATTATTTAAAAAATCCGGATCCGAAAAAGGCCGGATATCCGAAATTTTCAGTTTGGATATCGGATCCGGATATCCGAAGATTTTCAACTATCCGACAACACTACTAAAGTGAGGTCCGGCTGTAGTTATCTATATATTTTTAATGATAGTGGCGGCGCAAAAGTCGCGGCGCAAATGTTCCCCGGCGCAAAAGTCGCTCGGCGCATAAGTCGCGGCGCAAAAATCGCGGCGCAAGTGTCGCGGCGCAAATGTTCTCGGCGCAAAAGTCACGGAACCCTTAAATTGACCCTGTAAATATCTCTGCCTTTTCTTTTTTATCAGAGTTGGCCTAGCCACTTTCCCTTATTATTGTATCCATATTTTATGGAGAAATTGAATAAATTAATAAAATAAATAATTTAATTCAGTCTAATACATATGAGCCCCCAGAATACTAGAACCCGAGTTAAGCTATATTCTCAAATAAAAGTATTTTAATAGATTTTTAAAATCAAAATAACTTTCTTTTTAGGCTTTTTATTGTGGTCAATAGATTATAAACGAAATAATCAACTTGGGGTTTCCAGACACTTGGGTTTTGCAGAACATTCTGAATTGCAGAAAATAGTTAGTAAATTAATAAAAAAAATTATTTCTTTATTTTTAAAGGTGGGAGCAAAGTGGCATACTTTGCCAGATGAAGAAAAAAGGATTTGGAATGAGAAGGCGGATCGAATTCGTGCAGCTAAATCGGCTATTCACAAAATTCCAATATTACGTCCTAAAAAGAAAAAAATAAAGGCAATAATATACCCATTTAAATTTAATTTATAAAAATATTTTTTAGAGAAATAAAATAATGCAAAATGTTATTCCCGAAAGAAGTACTTCTCTACCTCTAAATACTTTAATTTATGAGAATAATCTTCAAGAATCTTCAAGTCAACAAATAACAAGTGAAGGAAATGAACAAATACAGATTATTAATAATAATGTTTTGGAAGCTCCAGATAATTATGTAAAATAATCTGGGTACTTTCCTGTTATCGGACCTCATTTTATGAGCAGAATGGTCAATGAGTAGAGTGCGCTCTATTCCGATAAAAATGAAAATACTTATCTTTTTTCCTTCATTAATTGTTTTTTTTCTTTTTTAATGTTGCCACAGGGAAACAGTGAAATTGAGGAACCAAGCTTGACCATTATGTTCATATTAAGAAAGAATATATTAGGGAGGAAACAAACGGTTTATCCGAAACAGAACCGAAAACCGGGGGCACCAATTTTCCTTTCCCTTCAAAAGAAAAGTATAATGACAAAAAAGGAAAATAAAAATGAGGGCTGTTAACAGGAAAGTGCCAATAATTTTTTTAATGAACAGAATCCTTTAAAGTTTTCTTCTTCAGATTCAAAATAATTCTTCCAATAATAATCAAAATAATTCGGCATTTGACGATATTAGCTACAAAAATGAAGTTAAAAATTTAAATTGTTTTGTTGCTCAAATGTTGTTGTCTTCGTATAGAGATGGAAGATTAACAACGGCTGAACAATTACATAATGAATTAACAAATGCTGGAATATTTATTGACATTTGGAATTTAAATATTTATTTAATTAGAATGAAGGCAAGTTGTTAATTTTTAAAATTAATTTTAAATTTCCCATAATATCCTTTAATTTGAATATCTCTTTAATTTTTTCTCTTTAATTTAAAATTTTTTTAGTTAGCAAAGAAGCAATATTTGGTTCCTCTTTATTCAAGTCCAAACGAAGGCCAATTTTTCCTAATAGGATCAGACCAAGAATGGCGCAAATTTAAAGCAACAAATTATTTAACCAAACATTCTGTTCACGAATTGGATTGTCTCAAATGTTTAAAATTGCGAAGGAAAGAACGTTCAAATGCTTGGTAGGGCTTAAGAAAGGAATTAAAAATATTTTCTCCCTCATCCTTTTTTCGGTAATCCTGCAGAATCTGGGAGACACCTTAAAAGCCCCTGTAAAATTATTTTTTTCCAATAAAAATCATTTTATTTAGGTAATCGACCATGCTGACACGAATCTGAGCTTAAAATTTGCTTATTTCGAACCCCGGACCCGAATTCGACTAAGTCGAATTCGGGGTAAAAATTCGAAATTAAGATATTATGGTTATCTTTACTCGTCTCTTTATTCTGAGTCGAATGGTATCAAAATTATTCAGTTTTGACCATTTTAAACGAAGTAATGATGCCGGTTTTCTACACAGAAGTCTATACAAACGTGTATAGAATTGATCATAACCTCGTCTAAAATGGTCGAAACTGAATAATTTTGATACCGTTCGACTTCTTTCGAATAGGCTTGTCAGATTAGCCCTAAATTTTTAATATCGAATTTTTACCCCGAATTCGACTTGGTCGAATTCGGGTCCGGGATTCGAAATAACCAAATTCTAAGCTCAGATTCGTGATCAGCATGGTCGATTACCTGTATAAAATTATTTTCAGAAAAAATAACAGTTTTTTTAAAGGTGTCTCCCAGATTCTGCAGGATTACCCTTTTTTCCTTTTAAAACACATTTTTAAGTAAAATTTCTTTCGTTATTCGAAATTTGACTTGTCAGAAGATTGAACTAATTTCTCTTCAAAGGCAAATGTCCAGTTGGCTGTCTACCTGTCCGCAAAGAGAATCCGCTCTTTTCTTTCCTTTTCCTGCATTTTTTGCGTTGAGAGAATTGCACCCTCATTTTTTCCTTTTCAGCAATTTTCATTCTTAACACAGTATGTTTTCCTTTTCCTACTTGCAAAAATAAAAATAATACCTCGAATTTTAAAAAAATTATTTTATAGTACAAATAATAAATTTTTGGATATCGTCCTCAAATAGCAACAATTGGAAACCATGTAGATATTCAAAAACTATTAATAGAGATTTTTCATTGATCAAGAGTTTGATCGTCGATCAATGGGATCCAGAATTTTTCTAGTGAGGAATTATTTGAAAATGGACAAGAATTATTAAATATAAAAATGGCTTATCTAAATTATACTTTTAAAAAATGTTTAAATTATTTGTAAAATAATTTTTTTTAAATTCGAGGTATTATTTTTATTTTTGCAAGTAGGAAAAGGAAAACATACTGTGTTAAGAATGAAAATTGCTGAAAAGGAAAAAATGAGGGTGCAATTCTCTCAACGCAAAAAATGCAGGAAAAGGAAAGAAAAGAGCGGATTCTCTTTGCGGACAGGTAGACAGCCAACTGGACATTTGCCCTCTTCAAAAAACATTTTTAAAATTTAAATAAGGGGTCAACTTGGTAAGGCAGTTTTGCGTTTTGGAGAATTAGATGATAATGTTCCAATTTTACATCATCAAAATTGCAAAGGAGATTCTTTAGAATATTTACATAAACTTCATTATTCACCAAACAATGCCCCAGAAATTGTTTCTCCTCAATTAGAAGTTAATATTCAAGACAGAGTTTCGGTAGGTTTTGAAGTTATTTAAATTAAAGTACTTAAATATTCTTAATAATCGTGGGAACGACCTTTGAAGATCTAATAAGTGAAAAGTATGCATTCCTTATGTGGTGGCATTAATGTTGTATATCGGCAAATTTCTCCTTCAACAAAACTTTAAACCCTCCCCTTTTCTATTCTAAAAACTTTCTGATGTATATTTAAATATTTAGAATTTTTTGGAAAATGCAACACCTCTTGAAATGTTAGAAGAAAGTGTTAGAATGGTTACTTCTGCACAAGAACAACAGTTACAACAACAACAACCATCTCCAACACAACAACAACAATCATCATCTACATCATCAAAAACACCTTCAGATATATTCCCACAACAACCATATTTTCTTTCAAATCAATCATCTTCCTCTCAACAACAACAACCAATAATTTCTGAAAATCCCAATTATTTAGCTTCATCTGTTCTTCAACAATTTTTAGAAAAATCGAAACAAACATCAACAAACAAAGAAGTTATTTTAATTGATGATGATGAACAAATTACAAATAATTCAACAATAACTACAGCAACAACAACATCCAATAAAAATATAAATGAAATAAATAAAACAAATAATAATGAAAATTTGTCTAAATTAATTATTGGATTGTCTGAAATTGCTAAAGAATTATCTCTTTCTCTTATTCAACAGCGGTAAAAAACATTTTTATAAAATATAGGTATTTACATACCTTTGTCAGGTCCCGTCCGCACTCTAAATATATATATTCCCTCCATTTTTTATTTAAATTATTTTTCATACGTTAACAACAAACTTATCATAATTCTATTTTTTGGAATAGGGAGAAAATACTTATCAGAAACTTCTAAAATTCTTTAATATATTTTTATAATTTCTCAAGATTTATTTATAGTTAAATATTTTTAATTTCCTTTTTAAAGTAATAGCAACAACCTTATTGTTTTACCTCAAAACATCCGTGATTCAAAACGTTCCCTGTCAATCATTCCAATGCCCGATAATATTTTAATTGTTAATGCATTTCTTGGAAGTATTTTACAAGAAACTTTACGGTTATATATTTACCTTAAATTTAAAAAATATTTAATTTATTTTTTAGTTGGTCTTCTTCAACCGATGGAATGGATCAATTGTTGTATGCACTTAGGGGAAAGTGTTATCAATTCTTTTATAAATGTCCAGCTTTAGTTACCCAAGATAATTGCCAAGGAAATTCTGGATGGATTTTGAGAAATGATCATTTTCTTTAAAATTTTGACAAATTTGTTTTTAATTTTTTAAATTATTCTTTTCTTTTTTTGTTAAAATTTATTTATAATAAATAAAAATTGGGTAATAATTGTTATTAATTTTTTCTTGATATTTTTAATTACTGTTAATTATAGGATTACATATAATTTTTAATTAAGAAAACCTTATCGTTAATTTAAACTATTTTGTCGATTATTATTTGATAGGATAATTAATATTTTATAATATATCTTGGTATATAATACCCAATATATATTTGTTCAAGTACATTTTTCTTCGAACAGTTTTGTTTCACATCTTGCAATTTAATTTTTGTTTTTGCAAGTTACTTCTTAACGTTTCTATTGACATTTCCACTTGACTTCCTGGAATAATTTTTCCAAATTTTTCGTATGTAAAACTCTCTAATAGTAATTAATGCTTTTAAGTTCGTACTATATTATTTACTACTTAACAACTTATATTTAAAGTTTTAAGTAAATTTGTTCTTGTTTTTATGTGAACATACAAGAAGAATTTTTTAAAAGAGTTGACAAACAAAAAGCAAAAAAACTGATTGTAAAGAGTGAATGGAATAAATACATTTTTTGAGATATATGTATGTAACTCTAAACCGTTGAATGAATGTTTAAACAAGAGATATTTTTTCTTTTCCAATTTTCTATACGAAAATTTCTTTAAATTACGATAAGATTCTAAAAATATTTTTGTTTTTATTATAATAAATTTGTAAAAAATATTTTTTTAAATTCATTTAAATTTAAAATAATTATTGAGAGAATAATTAAATAAACTAAAGATGGATAAAGACCCAGGTTGGCAATATCTTCGTCTTGCCCCTGATATACTTTTGAAGGCAATAAAATCCATTATCTTATAAATAATTATTTTAATTTTCAGGAGCAAAGTCGTCCTTATGATACAAAAAAGAATTGTTGGGTTCCTGGTAATTTTTTAAAAATAACTTTGATAATTTACACCTTGCAAAAATTTTCCTTCCACTAAATTATTATTTCTCATAGGCTAATTTTGTTGGATTGCGCCTTTAATTAATTCCAAAATAATCCACTTCATTTTAAAATTAAAAATATTTTATAGATCAAGAGGAAGGCTATGTTGCAGCTGAGATCACCTCCACAAAAGGAGATCAAGTTACTGTAAAAATAGCATCTGGTGAAGTATGAAATTAATTTAAATATTTTATTTATTATTTATTTTCATTTAGAAAACGGTCAAAAAAGAATTAATTCAAGAAATGAATCCACCAAAATTTGAGAAAACTGTTAGAGTTTATATTTAAAAAAATAATTTTTAAATTAAACAGGAAGATATGTCGAATTTAACTTTTTTGAATGATGCTTCTGTTTTGTATAATTTAAGAGCTCGATATAAAGCTATGCTTATTTATGTAAGTTTCTTTTTAAAAGAATTTCCTAATATATTTCCTACCCATAAAGCGACAGGATTCGGTTTCAGGTTTATATGATTGAGAATCCCGATTATAAAATTATTTTATGAATTTTAGTCAGAAACATTCGTTTTTCGTTCCAGAAAACCCAAAAACCTGTCCATTTTTTAAGCATCCTTGAGATTCAAGTTTTTGAAAATTTCAATAGTCTAAAATTAAAAATCCAATATTTAACAGACATATTCTGGTCTCTTCTGTGTTGTCATTAACCCTTACAAACGCCTACCAATATATACAGATTCTGTAGCCAGATTTTACATGGGAAAGCGTCGAACTGAAATGCCTCCACATTTATTTGCTGTTTCCGACGAAGCATATCGAAATATGCTTCAAAATAAAGAAAATCAATCCATGTTAATTACTGGTATTGAAACAAAAATTGGAAAGATTAAATAATTATTTTTTAATATTAAATAGGAGAATCAGGTGCTGGAAAAACTGAAAATACAAAAAAAGTACCTAATTAATTTATCTAATAATTAAATTAAATAATTAAAAAGGTAATTGCTTATTTTGCTTCTGTGGGTGCAAGCCAAGCAGAGGCAGCTAAAGATAAACCAAAACAAAAAATGGTTACTTTGGAAGACCAAATTGTTTGTTTTTTCTTGAGGAAAAAATTATTATAATTTCAAAGGTCCAAACAAATCCTGTACTTGAAGCTTTTGGTAATGCAAAAACTGTCAGAAATAATAATTCATCTAGATTTGGAAAATTTATTAGAATACATTTTAATAGAGCGGGAAGAGTTGCTTCTTGTGATATTGAACATTGTTAGTAGAATTATTTATTTATTAAAAACAATTCCAAAATTATTCTTAATTAATTACCATATTTCTTAGGCAGATTGCGGAATTTGATAAAAAAAAGAATTTAAATTTATTTTTTAAATAGATCTTCTGGAAAAATCTCGAGTAATTCGTCAAGCTCCAGGCGAACGTTGTTATCATATTTTTTACCAAATTTGTTCTGGTTTCAAGCCTGATCTAATGAAAAAATTAAAATTAAATAAACCATTAAAGGAATATTGGTTTGTTGCTCAGGCTGAATTAACAATTGATGGGATTGATGATAAAGTAAGTAATTAATGAATTTGGATGTTACTTATACATACCGTATTTCCTAAAATAATACTCCCCCCTGAATTAGTACTCCCCCCTTAAATAATACTCCCCTTTGGAGGAGGGTTGAAAAATAGTACTCCCCCCTTAAATAGTACTCCCCCTAAAATAGTACTCCCCCCTAAAATATTTTTCCCCTATATTTGAAAAAAATTATAAAAGAAACATTGAATTATTCTATTGAAATTTACTTATTGAATTATTTTATTTATTCTGATTAGGGTTGTCAGTTTCACTTGATTCTTCGATAACCGAAACCGAACAGCATCTGTTGACCGAAAACGTACCGAAATTTTAACCTAAAATTTGTCGGCAATTAAAGGGATATAATTGATTAGTTGGTGGGGTAAAAGTGGATTTTGGGGATATAAAGGGATTATATCGGGTGATAAAATGTGTTCTAGATTGATCAAGTAGTATGGTTTGATAAAGGAATTTGAGAGAAAAATGAAGGTTGAGTGTTCGGGACGCACTCATTCCCGAGCGTTCAGGACGAAAATCTATTTGTTATCCCGCCTAATATGGATACCCTAGGATTCGTAGGGATATTCGAAGAAAAAGAGATGTGGAGGATATCGGTGATTAATGCTGATAAATCCCTAGACACAGCGATTAGGTACATCAATTGCGCAGTGACATTGAATAATATCGGCAGATATATGCGGATTAGTGAGATTACGAGGTTTGAAAAGATTAAGGGGTATATCAGTGTTTTTGAAGGATATCTAGGGAATTTTCTCATATCAAGTGTATTAACTGGTCGGGAGTTCAAGATGGATATAGAGGTAAATTTAGAAAATCCGTGTCGGATCCGTCATTTTTCAAATAACGAACTCAAATTGATTTAGAATTTTGAAATAAATTTTCTTATGATAAATCATAAATAAGGGTTGAAAAATAGTACTCCCCCCTGAATTAGTACTCCCACCTTAAATAGTACTCCCCTTTGGAGGAGGGTTGAAAAATAGTACTCCCGGGAGTACTATTTTAGGAAATACGGTATTTATGTATATGTAGTTTAAAGTTTAAGGGGGCTCATTAAAAATATTTAAACATGCTTAGACCCGATTAAACATATCAATTATATAGGGAGTCTATATTATTAAGAGATGTACTTATAGAGGGATTTAAGTAATTATAGATAACAGGACAAATTTCCAATATATAATTATTGTTTTTAATAATTTAAGGAAGAATTCAAATTAACAGATGAGGCATTTGATGTATTAAATTTTAGTGAAACAGAGAAAATGGATTGTTATAAAATGATGGGAGGAATAATGCATATGGGTAATTATATAATTAAAAAAATTGTTAATTAATCTTGAATAAAAGGAAATATGAAATTTAAACAAAGACCTAGAGAAGAACAGGCTGAACCAGATGAAACTGAAGAGGCAAATTATGCTGCGGAAAATTTTGGTATCGATATGGAGGTATTTAATTATTTAATTTAAATATTTTAATTTATTTATTAGCAACAATTAACAGCTTTAACAAAACCTCGTGTACGTGTAGGGAGTGAATGGGTTTCTAAAGGCCAAAATCTCGATCAAGTTAATTGGGCAATTGGGGCAATGTCAAAAGCTTTATATGCCCGAGTATTTGAATGGCTAGTCAAAAAATGTAATTTAACATTAGACCAAAAAGGACTTTCAAGAGATTCTTTTATTGGTGTCTTGGATATTGCGGGATTTGAAATTTTTGATGTAAAAATTAATTTATTTAAAAATATTTTTTAATATTTATAGTTCAATAGTTTTGAACAACTTTGGATTAATTTTGTTAATGAAAAATTACAACAATTTTTTAATCATCATATGTTCGTATTAGAACAAGAAGAATATGCACGTGAAGGGATTGCCTGGACATTTATAGATTTTGGTTTAGATTTACAAGCATGTATTGAATTAATTGAAAAACCTATGGGTTGGTTAATTAAATATATTTAAATAATTTTAAAGAAGGGAAGATTCGGTTGGCTAGTATTTAGGACTGAAATTAAGTTTTAGGTACATATGAGAGAAAACAAGGTTATAACCCGAGTAGCTCTCAGTGTGTCTAACAATAATTGCCAGTAATTCCAAAATTTGAACTCAGTTATTTACTTTTTAAAGCCCCAAATTTTATACTTTCCCAATCATTTTTATTCCTTAATTTTAACAATCGTTCTTTTTATTTCAGGAATTATTTCAATGTTGGATGAAGAATGTATTGTTCCAAAAGCATCTGACCTTACTTACGCACAAAAATTGGGTGACCAACATTTAGGCAAACATCCTAATTTCGAAAAACCAAAACCACCAAAAGGTAAACAAGGAGAAGCACATTTTGCAATGCGTCACTATGCTGGGACAGGTAAATAATAATTTTATTTTTATCAAATTAAATATATTAAAAATCAAAAAAGAGG